TGTTTGGTGAAAATTGTGTGAAACATTGCAATTTGTTAATGTGTATTTGTGTGAGTATGACTATGGCTGTTTGTTGGAAATTGTGTGAAACATTGCAATTTGGTCTGGTGTATTTGTGTGAGTATGACTATGGCCTTTTGGTGAAAATTGTATGAAACATTGCAATTTGTTAATGTGTATTTGTATGAGTATGACTATGGCTGTTTGGTAGAAATTGTGTGAAACATTGCAATTTGTTAATGTGTATTTGTGTGAGTATGACTATGGCTGTTTGTTGGAAATTGTGTGAAACATTGCAATTTGGTCTGGTGTATTTGTGTGAGTATGGCTATGGCTGTTTGGTGTGAAATTGTGTGAAACATTGCAATTTGTTAATGTGTATTTGTGTGAGTATGACTATGGCTGTTTGTTGGAAATTGTGTGAAACATTGCAATTTGGTCTGGTGTATTTGTGTGAGTATGGCTATGAATGGTTGGAGAAAATTGTGTGAAACACTGCAATTTGCGTGGTTTACTCGTATTAATTAATTACTTAAAATGAGCATTGGATGTGGGTAACGGAAGTTCTCTGACACTTTGAAATTTGATGTGAATTACTGAAATTACTCACCATGCGTAGTAGAAGTTGTATGAGACTTTGAAATTTGTTTAGATATATTAGTGTGAATTACTGAAAATGGCTAACGCTGTGTGTGGTGGAAGTTGTATGAAACATTAAATTTGGTGCAGTGTATTGGCGTGAATTTCTGAAAATCACCATCACTGGGTGCACGCGAGGATTTAGGGAAATATACAAATCAATTGAAAAACCCAGCCCACCGGAGGCCATGTCAATAAAAGCGCGTTTCCCATTACTGAATTTCTGGATCCGCCAGTGGGGTGTGGTAGAAATTGTTTTAAAATGCTGTTTTCATGATGGCAAGGGTATCTACATGTTTTAGTCTTTGAATACTTTACTTAATTTTCTGAATTATAAATTGAAAAAATTCAAAATTCTTGTTTTCATGACAACAAAATCTTAATCTTGATGAAAATTTAATTCATTAATCTTTTATAAAACTCCAAGAAATGTCACGAGAATCTATCCACAAGTTGTCATGTATGAAAACTCATCCCCGAAATTACGTAATCACGTCTGTTCCTAAATCTAATAGATTGCCCCTGCTGATAATACTATGCGATTCATTTTATTTAATAACATTATAATATCACACTACCGGAAACGTAACCTCTGGCGCGAGTAATTATCGTGGTGTATAGACATAGTATATGCATATTTGTATGTAACGTAGAAAATAACCATGGACTGTTGGTGATGCCCGAAATATATATCTCTCTTCAACAAATGAAAATACACCTTTTAGTAAAATAACGTTTTAACTGAATCGCTAAAATCGTATTGGCTTAAACCAATACTGCAGACATGTTGCATGTTAACAAGTTTGCAGGGCGGCGGTCGTCGCGCCACGCATGTGCGAGATATGGGACTTATATAAACAAAGACGGCGACTTTGACTGACCAACGAATACACACTGAGACCTTAACAAGCTTTAACTAGGTAATGTCTTTGGTGATTGGACGGTAGTTTATCCAGGTCGTACTCGCGGATTTTCATAAGAAGAGCGCATTGGATTGTGGGAAACCACCGACGACCATCGACCTTTAATCAGGTATGCTGCCCGAAACGACGGAAACTTCGAATACTGAGGACCAACAACGTCGAGAAACTGTCCGACCATTAATTGGAGTAGCACAAATGGCTAACGCTCGATATTTTGTCAAGGCAACTCCACCAGCTCACCAACTTGAATAGCGTGCGATGATTATGTTATCTGTTACTCTTTGATTTTTTTACACCAAGTACCACAGGTATGTTGACTAGCCAATACACGTCTTCGTTTTATGATTGAGACATACACAATCGATTATTGTTTAAGTAACCGTAGTTCCGTCAAGAAATGTCAAATAATATCATTGGTTGAATTTTACTGTTATGTCTTTATGTACGACTAAGGCGAATGTGAATGCATGTATATTGGAAATATGGTAACGGGGACCTGTGTCTTTATACCGTGCTATTAAATGCGACCGTCGTTTGTAAGTCGAACTTGAGTTTTAACCTTGAGCGCTTTCGGTTGACCTTGGAAAAAATCTTGAACCGTGTCTCCCTTTGTCTGTTTTGTGTTAAAAACTAAACTCCTTTTTCTTATAAAATAACCTCTATTTAGCTGGGCAGATTACTACTTGTATAAGACGTACATTTACGTGAGTCCCTGCATTGCGAATACATATGGACATACATTCGTATAGTCTATTCAACGTAACTATAGTATATTTATTGACACAATACTGACTTAGAGAAGTACAGCAGTAAGGTCACTAAAACTTCAGAAAATGAGAGTGCAACTACGGCGCGTGTTGCAAAAATATTCTATCACACAGAATAATAAAAAACAGAATTTCATAGCCTTTTTCTCAAAATCAAAATAATATATATATATATATCTAGAAATATGAGACTAGGAAATGTGGGAAATAAAAAATCACAGAAAAATGAAAAGCAACTAAAAAAGCAAAAATAAACAGCCATTATGTCAGCTCAATCTGATTAAAATAAGATCCTATTTTTTTTTCTTTGTATATTAATTTTATTTTATTTTGATCTAGTATTTTATTTTGAAGTTTTGGTAATTGCGAAAGCCAACAAGGATCTGATGTATGTAGGGCGGAATTAAAAAAAAACACAAAAACAAAGTGAAATAATAAAATAAAAAGGCATAATTAAAAAATGTAATAAAGTATAAAATAAAAATAAGTTGATAGCCAAAATAATTAAAGCCCGTACACTACATAAGATTTAATCAGATTGATGTCAGCTCAGTCTATGTAAATTATATTTCGTCGCCACATAATAAGTCCACTGGCGACAAACATCTGTTCAACGTGTTGTTTGCTAAGACGAACGTGTTATTTGAATTATATCAGAGGCGACAGTACGAAATATTGCGGAGGGGGGGGGGGTCTGCTCACCAACCTCTCGCCAAGGCGCGACCTTACTAGGCGGTCCGATGGCATGCTGTTCCTTAAAGGTGTGCAAAATATGGACCCTCTGAAACGCGATTCCCTGCATTTTGAGGGGCAAATTTTGCTGACACAAAGGGTTTTAGCTTGATTTTAGAGGGACCGCCCCTCTGCTCCCGCCCCTGTGCCGCTGCCAGAGTGTATGTCGTAATTTATAAAAAAACGCACATTACGTCAACGTTTGAAACACGTGCTTATGATCTGCATAGTCAAATGTAATTTGTCTCAACAATGTCCCTATAATATGAAATTACAAATATTGTACTCTTCTAACAATAAAATGGTGGGATACATCGATTTTTGAAAGATTGTAACTCAGTGAAAGTCAACCCATGACTGCACAGAGTTATTCAGATACATTGATATCAATGGAATAAAACGTGGAATCATTCGGCGAATACAAATACGAATACTGTTGAATAAGAACAGTATTTAGGATCGAACTATAAAAATCAATAGTGTAGGAATTGTTATGCGTTGTTATGCCAAAGCTATCGTTCAGTAGTTAAAGCGGGGAGCGCCACCTGCGCATGCGTCTGACGGCCAAAGCGTCTACCCAGAGCCCTTGCGTTTTTAGTGTGCGTTGTTATAGTGCCTAGGCAACGACCCCTCCGCTTTAAACTTTTAATAAGCTGTGAGTCACCCCAAGTTATGGGTCGTTTACTGTGTCTGAGGTCATGGGGAGGCAGACTTGAAATTGTTGCCTCAATGAGGTCATTCAATAGGTGTGTTATAACATACCCAATTTAGTAACCCGTGATTACGTTAATGGTTTGCGATGAAAGCTTGCAGGAAGCAAAATCTTACAATTTCTCTTCGGAGAAACTATAACTATATAACTATAAGTTACCGATTCATTGTTAAATTGGTCTGATGCTTACCTTTGGCCATATAGTGTTAATTTTCTATTCAAGAACTATTTCTTGCGTCAGGTAATATGAAGAGCAGTTCTATTTTTTTTTTTCTCATTTAACTCCACCTGACAACGGAATGACCAATCGTGTGTCGGCAACTAAAATGAACGCTATGCACACGTATTATTCATAAGCTACGTATGAGAGCGTCGGGGCTTCAGCCTGCTTGGCAGACAACACTTACCCTGGAGAGGTACTGGGCGATTCTTACAAGGGAATGATTCCGGCTGCCTACTAACGTTACCTCACATTGTTGTCCAAATTCTAAGACGCGGGAGTATAAACATATTATCGACGTATGGCTGAAGCTGTTCATCTCATTTCGTGGATAAAGCGGAGGAGTCGTCACCTACGCATGCGTCAGGTGGCCATAGCGTGTCATTATTCACAAACAAGCGTCCACCCATGATCCTTTGCGTCCTTAGCGTGTGTTGTTATCATCGCTTGGGACTCAATTCCTGCACGTGCGCAGGTGACGACCTTCCCGCTTTAAATCATTGCGTATTTCAGCCAACAAAACACAATCAGTGTATAATGTGTTTATGAAATGCATGGTACGCTTTAATATTGATCTATATATTGCTGTAGATTGATCATAAGTGATTTTGTAACATCTTTTGGAAGCAACGTTTGTACGTGATGTCACTATGGTAACACTAGTACCATTGCAAACTAGAAAAGCACTCGGAGAGCACATACCTCCGTCAAGCAAATCATTCCCGAATATGTTTTATCCATGGTAACCGTACCCATATTTGTCCCATATAGTTTCGTGCTTGTATCAAATGCAGTCCCTAGAAGTTCGATAGTAAACCATCATTAATCTCTCGATTTATGAATGAAAAATCACTGCCAACATTGCTGTGTTCATGGTAACCGCATCTGTACCAAAATGTAATAGTTTTGTGCTTGTATCAAGAGCAACTTCATTTCAAAATTGTATCTGCGGAAGTAATAACTAATGAATATTCATATTTGCTGTTTACAGGCGATTCATTGACACGATGGTTCAGTTTGATGATATTCTGACTGACTTTGTGGGTGAGTTTGGCACATTTCAGAAGATATGTTTCATTCTATTAGGAATAGCGTGCATACCATGGGAATCTATTCAACTGTCTCCGGTCTTCTTGTTTGCGACGACTGACTCTTGGTGCAAAGTACTGTCATGAATTTGTTTTTGAATATCTGTTGATCGATTTAATTAGCTGATTACGAGCTAATTGCTGTGTTATGTCTGTCATCGTTTAGGCAGGCGAGGTCCTGGACGCAACTTGGCTCAGTGATTTGGAACTAATTACGAGATAACCGTCGCTATTGAGACTACTATTTCTGACAGTTGGTATTCGTAGTTATTAATATAGTGAACGATTAATCAAAAGATATGACGTGTCCAGTACTTAGTGTGATTGGCTTTATGGTTGAAGGTTACGCCCAAGTATCTTTTTACTGCTTTGTAATTGGTTAGAGTTTTGAAAATGAATAAAGTTGTTTTAGTTGGTCTTGGCGAGTACAGCACGATAGACGCAGTCGAGAGTCCAGTCCTGGAGAGTCTTGGGCGAGTCTTGGGTCAGCCTTGCGATAGTCTTGGGGATTTTTCCCCAGGGCGCTGTGTCTTATAGAGTGCTTGACTGATCGACTAAGACGAGAGTTGAAACGTATTTCGTTGTGTGTGTCTTATTTGACTGTAAAGCTTAAGTGACTTCCCCGATCCCGTACCTCAAGGGGACGCGATAGAGAGACGAGACGAGATTCCCCCCTGACACGTGTGGAGAACCCTAGAGGAGAAGAACTTCCCCCCTGATACGTGGTGTGAGAACCCTAGGCATTGCGTCTTACGCACATTGACATCCTGTGAAGAAAAGTGAAATAGCGAAGGTGTGTCTTTCTTGTGAACCGAACTAACAGCTCCATGGCAGAGACAACTCAGAAACTGCGCTTGACAACTAACGGCTTTACCAGTATGGCACCGATGGACAACGCTGAAGAGATGAAGACTTCGGAACCCCTTATGAGGGACGAGTATTGAATAGGACTGAATAATCAAGAATTGAGCGACATTAAAGACAAGAAGATGATAAAGAACGACCCGGACTAACGCGACGACAAGAGAAGAGACGCTATATAGACTTTGATTAGAACTTTAGCTATCTGTGTATTGCTTAGAGAACCGCTCGTTGGACACTGTAACTGACACTGTGTAACTCAAGACGTTGAACTCTTTTTTTCAGAATCCTAACCCTATTGTTCAGTATGTAATGTATTGCTTGCTTTTACTATGGTTTTTTCTTACCGTTTTTTTTATTTTTTTTGTGATGTTGAATTGTATATATGTAAGCGCCCAGATCTTTGTTTTGAACTGATATTTAGTGATGTTTGAGGTCCTCAGTGGACAAGTATTTGCAACACAGTGTTTTGAGTTTTGTGAAGTTTTATGGTGTTTTAATGAGTTTATGAGTACGGAATATGTTGGGGAAAGTAATGCCCCAATGAGTTTTTAAGAGTTTTGAGATGTGTCGATATACAGAGATATCGACGTTTTAAGAGTTGTTTTTGTTTACGTGTTGTTTCGGAATACTTCTGACGCTTTTTGAGTTGATAGCACCTTTGTAATGTTTTTTAATGTCTTTTTTTGGGATGGGAGGTAGTGCGCTTATATACGTATTGTTTGATAACGCAAGCTTTTGTTCATGATTGACAGGTTTATATGTAATTCAGTAGTTTCTATCGTTTTAGCCTTTCCCGTCTTTAATTGCCAGAGGAGTAATGTGTTATGATAGCTTTGTCTTTGCATTCCGTTTCCACGCCATATGACTTTTGTTTAGATTAACGACTTGTGAGTTTAGTTTGTGAAGTTTATAAGCGTATATAACAGGAGTTTGATTAATAGCTTGTTTATTCATTGTTTATTAGTTACCGCTTGCAATGCTTTAACCGAGAGACGCATCACTGGTAATCACGTAATCATGCTGTCGACTGCAGCGATTGGCAGATCGCTTGGTTACACCGCTACGCCTTAGTTTTTTGACCTTTTGATATAGAGTTTGTAACCTTAGTAACGGAGACAGTGCAGCAAAGGGTTACCCTCCGCGTGCCGTTTGAGAAAAGCGAGTCGATTGGTAGCCTTTCCCTTGTTTTTGATTTATAACCGTTGATATTTGAGACTATATAACATTGTTTTTAGACTTTATAATCAGTTTATTAATTAGTGTGTTTTACTCTTTTTGATTTATACCTTTTATTTGTATTGTATTTAACCCGTATGACGATGAGTAGATGATGGTATCTTTGATTTATGAACGTGTTATTCCAGGAGGCATAGCTCAGTTTGAGTGAAGGGATGTGTCATGAATTTGTTTTTGCGTATCTGTTGATCGACTTATTTAGGTGATTACTAGCGAATGGCTGTGTTATGTCTGTCATCGTTTAGGCAGGCGAGTGATTTGGAACTAATTACGAGATAACCGTCGCTATTGAGACTACTATTTCTGACAGTTGGTATTCGTAGTTATTAATATAGTGAACGATTAATCAAAAGATATGACGTGTCCAGTACTTAGTGTGATTGGCTTTATGATTGAAGGTTACGCCCTCGAGTCTTTTTACTGCTTTGTAATTGGTTAGAGTTTTGAAAATGAATAAAGTTGTTTTAGTTGGTCTTGGCGAGTACAGCACGATAGACGCAGTCGAGAGTCCAGTCCTGGAGAGTCTTGGGCGAGTTTTGGGTCAGCCTTGCGATAGTCTTGGGGATTTTTTCCCAGGGCGCTGTGTCTTATAGAGTGCTCGACTGATCGACTAAGACGAGAGTTGAAACGTATTTCGTTGTGTGTGTCTTATTTGACTGTAAAGCTTAAGTGACTTCCCCGATCCCGTACCTCAAGGGGACGCGATAGAGAGACGAGACAAGATTCCCCCCTGACAAGTGTGGAGAACATTCCAGTGCATACTCTGCACGCGGAATGTTAGTACGGGATACACACACATATATAAATATATCGTTTTCGTGGTGCATTTAGCACGCTTCAGTCAACACGTATCGCGTGAAAATTTAGTGAAATTAATTAACAAAGCAGGTTAAATGAATTTATATACGTAGCATATGAATCACAACGAACAACCCCCTACATATAAAGCTGATCTTAGTGTCGTCCAGAGTGTATATAATCAAATAACATTTTGAAGGCAAATTCTGTTTTATTATTTAATGGCGTTTTTTTCCAAGCATTGACTGTAGGAAAAGTTTCATGGTCACATGGTCCGCCACCATAGTCCTTGGTATTATTGAAGTTTTTGCTCCAAACTATATTGTCTTTGTGATTGTACGCTTCTTAATGACAGCAACTGGATTTGGTTTGTAACTTGCCGGTTGTATCATGGGTTAGTAACACCAGAATTTTGTAGCCAGAATCTTCGGGAGGGGGGAGTCGGGGGATAGTCGGCAGCCTAAGGCTCAAATTGTTCGTTTTGTTGCAACCCCTGACAGAAAAGACAAACCGCATTTAAATGGCGGTAGTCGTCACGCCACGCATGCGCGAGATATATGGGTATCATATAAACAAATATGGCGACTTCGACTGTTGCGCAGATCAACGAGTACAAACTGAGACGTTACCAAGCTTTAATTAGATCCTTCTAGAGGGACTGTGATAAGATATATTTTAGGTGATTGGAAGGTATCAACGGAGTCATGGGTGGTACTTAGTGCAAGTCGCGCCCAGGTCAAACCTCATACTTGGGATTTCCCTTAGAAGAGCACATTAGATTATGGGAAAAACAATGTTTATCAGCACAAATGTCGCTCATGCGCAATGCGACGACTGTCACCCTTTAATTGTTACATGTGACAATTACCGTTCTAAAAATGCGCGTTGTTGAATTGATCGATTTTTAATCAACTCATATAAGAAAGTATAAAAACATTAACGACTTGTGGATAGCCCACTTTAATTTGCATATTTATTCGTATTTGGAACCATAGAGAATGTATATTAACATATGCAACACTTAGGAAATAGTTATCTATTTCCGAAGTTAATAAATTACCAAATAATGTATGAAGTCTTAACATTCTAAGGTTATTCTGACTGGAATCTGAATCATTACGCTGCATATTGTTATTGCTTGATTTCAATACAATATATCCTGTTATGCTTTGCTGTGGAATTCTGCTTTGGTATTGTGCCAAACACAACTAAGCGAGGAATTACGTAATATTCTCTGTTTGTAGTCGTAGCATGAGGAAAATAAACTTCCTACATGTTCAAAGAGAAGAGTATGGAAAGCCACAGCTATATATCTTAAGGCGTAAAATATTATTTCATGTTGTGCATTCACCATATTATGTAGTGTATTTACCATGTTATGTAGTGCATTTACCATATTGTGTGTTGCGTTTACATTGGTATGTAGTGTATTTCGCATATTATGTGGTGCATTTAATTTGTTGCGTGATGCATTCATCATACTATGTGGCGTATTTACCTTGTTATGTAGTGTATCTACCATGTTGTGTAGTACATTTATCATGTTATGTAGTGTATTTACCATATTTATCATATTATGTAGTGCATTCATCATATTAGTATTGTACATTTACATGGTTATGTAGTGCATCATATTATGTGGTGCCTTTATCTTGTTATGTAGTGCATATACCATATTATGTTGTACATTTATCATGTTATGTAGCGCATTTACCATGCTAAGTAGTGCTATTATCGAATTATGTTGTGCAATTATCATATTGTGTAGTGCATTTATCTTTTATCCAGGGGGTATCGGCAACTGAACTGCTATCTGCTGCTACTAGTAGCACCGGTACAACGGCAGTATTTCGGGCAGTGAGTGTCAGTAGTTCCTGTTGATAAGCAGGGATTACTGCACAGAACGTCTGCATATGTATAAGGCACATCTCACTGGAGTCAGGAATCAGCATCACTGGATGTTACAGGATCAAGTCACCTTCTTGACAAAGGGTTTTCACGCATGTCTCAACTTAAATACTACAACTAGATTATGGCCATGCAAACAATAAAATGAATCCAACGAAATAATTGGAATAATCGAAATAGCGAACAAATCAGTGTATATAAGATGCCAATTTTGGTAGTGGAATACACCACTTTTTATCCAAGATTCGGGGTGAATGATGTCATATCTATTTTGCATTGCCAACAATGCTGGACTCAGCACATTCCAAGGTATTTCACAATCACCATGCCACTGTTTGAGACATGTCATTATGCCTCAGGGGGAGACAGAATGTATATATCTCAAATTCTGCTGACAACACAATCAAGTGACTGTATCAGCAGTCTAAAAATAAACATGTGCAATGGATTGTTGCAAAGTATCCAAACATGTGTGATTATCATTCTGTTTTCTAAAATAACTTTTCACTTACAATTTATGTCATACTATTTTATGTTATAATAACAAATTTAAACAACTACGTCGTTTTGGGAGTTTAAAGGCTCACAACATGAATTTTTGAACGGAAAATAATGTCGCACCTAAGTATTAAATGTGGTATACCTTTCCCCACAGGGAGGTGCAACAAAAACACGATATAACTTGATATATTCTTAATGAACTTCTTACATTCTCTCACAACTCGCTACTTAGCACAGTCTGCAATAGAGTGGGTGTACCATGGCTTGGGTGATCAAAGAGACCGAAACTACGTCTCAGGTCATGCTAATAAGAAAATGTATCCTTTTAAAATCAAAGTTTCAGATCAAAGATTAAAATGACGAACAACAATTCAAAACGCAATTCCTACAAAATAGATACCAGACGATGGTAACATGAGCTAAGCATGTAATATTGGATATACAATGTAGGCCATGAGATAACTGTTTACATTTATGATGATGATTTACCCTAGGATGTGAATATGTCGGACCATCTTGGCGTAATGTGACTGAAATGATATATCCTATGTTCTTTTCTGTTGGCATCATGATTCTGGCTCCACAAGCCTTCTTCATACGTCAATGGTTGAGTCTGCAGTTAGCAATCATGGAGCCTTGTGTCCTGCTGCTGTGTTACTGGTGGTAAGTTATAGGTGCAAATCTGTTGAATTCAATATAATGGCACAAGTTCCCACTGATGAAGGCAGACATATGTTTGTTCTCGTTTCCAAATTACAGGATTATCACAGAGTCTCCAAGGTGGCTGATATCAAAAGGAAGAATCGATGAAGCCGAAAGTATTATCAGAAGATGTTGTAGAATCAATAAAGCCAATTTTTCTGAGGAAAAATTCTCTGAAGCTATGAGAAACATTGTAAAATCAAGAAATGTAAGTATTAGCCTGTGCTATACTTGAATTTTAAGTATCACTGGACATTTTTCGAAATACAAAAGTTGGAAATGACATGGAAAATTGGTAATATTGGCATTTTGCTCAAAGTGTTGCCTCAGGCTAGTTAATATTGTTAGAATATTTCAAAAACATTACGTATAATTCAGTCTGTCTACGAGATAACGATGATATAACTATGTTTGTTTTATAAAGTGTCAAGTTCTCTCCCATTATGCATTACATATATGTGCAGTAACATATTATGTCGTGCAAAATATTCGTCAATTATTCATGCGCGTCACAACATCAGTAAATTTATCAGTAATTCTGTATCGTGATTCAGGAGTGTATAGAAGCGGGAGCAACGCTAATCACACTGAGCTTATTTCGATATCCAAACATGCGAAAGAGAACAATAATATTATTCTTCAACTGGTAAGTAAGAATCTGACAAACGATTATATTTGACTTTTCTTAACAATAAATGGCTTTTCTATATGTCATCGGTTATTACCATCATACTAGCGTGAAATTAATCTGGTTGATTCTTATCAATATTGACATGCGAATTATATTTATTACAGGGTGACTATTTGTATTGTTTATTGTGGAATATCTTTTGATACATCTAGTCTGAATGGTAATCCGTACGTTAATATGTTCATCTCAGGGGCTGTTGAGATCCCAGCAGGAGTATGTGGACTTTTTCTGATCGATCATCCGAAATTTGGACGATGGGGAACGATGATCCTCGTGATGATCTCCGGTGGCGTAGCCTGTATCATTTTGGAGTTTGTCCCTCCGTGTGAGTAAAACTATATGCAATTATTCAGCACCACTATATGTATTTCAAATATGTCACATAGTGTGTCAACTACCATACACAAAGAAACACATTATCGTCCATTGCATGTATTGATTCATCACCAAATGGGCTGTTTCATTAGATATGCATGTTTATAGAGTGTCTCCGCTTTGGCAAATACAGTCAAATACACAATTACTCTGTATTATACGATTTACAATCTGCATCTAGCATCACACACTAAGTAATATAACGTATGCGGTAATATCGTTATAGCGGAATTATCCACGTGCATTGCAGTAAATAGA